CTCTCGTGACAAAGTCTTGTCTCTTCGATTCGAAGAACGAAGTTGCTGAACTCATCCAATGTGTCTTTCCCATAAAGCGTCCCAGCCAGATCCAGGCACAACGTGTGACGCTGCTGGACATAGTTAACGGCCGCGCTAGCGAGCATTGACCAGGGGGCTGAAAGTATGCCGTAGTGTACTGTGGCGTTTCTTGAGAGTACGGTCTCTTGGATGACCCAAATGCGCTGCCACTGCCAGTTCTATTGTCAGTCCAGACCAAACGAAGGCACCGTGAATAATCACCCAAGCCCTATCCATCAACCTTGCGAGACCGTGCCACACCCTAAGAGACTGTGACCCATGCCAACGGCTGTTTGTCGCAATCAGACCATGTCTCCTAGGATATTCGATGCGTTCCGATATGGTGGCTTTGTTGCGATCCAGCAACTGGAGTAATGGGTACGAAATGTCTTCGGCAAAGTCCTGGATTAAACAAAACGCACCGAAAATATCCGGGCCTGTGTTCGCCGCGGGTGTGTCTGCCAATGCGACCAACGGTGCTACCTTACACGTGTGCTCAAAATCGAGCATAAACTCCTCCCGCAGCTCGCTGTCTCTGGAATCACCTGTCCACGCTATCTCGGAAGCATTGCCTTTCAAAAAGCGGGAGCCAATATCCTCACCGGGCGTTGGTTCGCCAAGCCATATGATCGTCTCGCGACTGTTGCTGTATATATCACCCATCAAGCCAACTTGTTTAGTTCTCTCCGAAGCGTCTGCTTGGTTAATACACAGCGCGTCCGCCCAAAGCAGGACCTCATGGTCAGGTTGTCGAAGTTTGCGCAGAGCCGTGGAAAGATTCTCAGAAACAGAAACAAGTTTCCCGTTGCACGTTATCAGAACCTGGCGAGCGACGCCTTCGGAACCCCACGTGTACGAAATTGCGATATAGCGCCCTCGAACATCGTCAATGGAAGAGGCCTGGAGCTCTGTGCGAATGTCATCCTCCCCGGCGCCAGGGTGAAGGTGTAGCACACGGATTGCACGCGTCGCAGCATCGAGAGGGAGGTAGATTTCTTTCTTAGTCTTCCTGGCGCGTCTTCTGAGCTTTGACGCGATGCGCCGGGCCATGGTGGGTGGAGTGTGGACAGTTGTCATTCAGCTGAGAATGCCCCATGCTTATGCGTTGTGATGGCGCGACTCAGCCACTCACAGAGTGGGCGGCCTAACCGCAAGCTGACGGCCAGCTCCAAAGTCTCGCGATAGAACAGCTCCTGGGATCATTGCTGGTTTGGTTTGATGCGATCGGTACTATTTGGAATCCGATGAACGATGAGACGACAAGTTTAGTCTCCAGGGCTTCATTGGGATGTCAGCCGTGACGTCACATGCGCGCGATCCCGACAGCTTCGGCTCTAATCGCCTGTGGTGCTCGAAATCGACACGTCCTCATCATTTGCCAAGAACCACAACGACGCATCAAACCTTTGTTCAACCACATCCTTCCCAGACTCTCTCGCTACCTGATGAACATCAAATGAAGCTATGAAGCTGTCGCGCAAGCATGCTGGGCGACTCAGCTAGCGCCCGCAAAAGGAGCGTATGACGAGCGATCGCAGCAGCTAGCCCGTGCCTAGCGGTGTAGAAAAAGGTAAGAGAGACGAACGGGTGGCGTCCCGTGGAAGTCTCTAGTACCAATAATGCTTGATCGGCATGGCTTTGTACCTTGTTTTAGGACTGCTTTAAGGCCGGCGTGCCTTGAACACGTCGGGTGCTGCTCCGTTATCACGATCTTACTCTTCTCTCGATAGCAGGACATGCTATCGACAAACCTCCGTCGAGCTACCGTTGCGCTTTTAGCTTCAACCCGCTTAGTTCTGTGCTCCACAAGCAGCGAACATGAACAATTCAAGGATGTAACATGGGATGACCAGAATTGGGTTATAGCGACACATGCCCTGGATCAAGGCCACTACCAGTCCCGCCTAACGCTTGCAAATGGCTACTTTGGCATCAATGTAGCATCAGCAGGACCTTTCTTCGAGGTGGATGAGCCAGTGGACGGCGACGTTATAAGTGGGTGGCCGCTGTTCAGCAGACGACAAGCTTTCTCGACCATCGCAGGCTTCTGGAATAGTCAGCCACGAACAAACGGAACGAATTACCCTTGGCTGTATCAGTATGGGTGGGAGAGCTTTACTGCTGGTATTCCACATGCTAGTGGTATCGTTGTGGAAGCCAACGGTGAATTACTGAATGCGTCAGTCAACCCCGACCACATATCGGATTTCGTATCGAGTCTAGATGTAAAAGCTGGAATTGCGAGCTGGCGATACAATTGGCGGCCTGGTGGTACCGGAGATGGGACAGTTGATGTGGACTATCAGATGTTCGTGCACAAGCTTTATGTCAATAAAGCAGCAGTCAGGCTAAGGCTTACTGCGACACGCGACCTCAATGTGACGGTGTACGACGTGCTTGACGGTGACTGCGCGGTTCGCTCGGACTTTGTTGAGAAGAAGTTTGAAGAAGACACGCCTACGATCTGGTCTGCTGTCAGCCCGGGAAACATCACCGACGTAAAGGCTTATGTATACTCGACTCTGAGTGGCAGCGATTGGGTCAATCTCACAGCTCGCACTGAAGTAGCTGGAGGCATATTCAGTGGCGGCAATGGCTCAACCATTGCGCAGTCTCTCCCCGTCGAACTTGTCGCCTTCCGTCCCACCGAAATCACCAAGTTCATTGGAGTCGCATCGACTGATGCTTTCCCGGATCCGCAGAGTGTAGCACGCGATGCCTCACTATCCGGTGCCGAAGAGGGCTACTACAAGCTGTTGCATTCTCATATTGAAGAGTGGAAGTCCATACTAACACCAGACTCGGTTGATGATTACCACCTACCGAATGGATCCCTGCCGGAAGACCCAGACGTACGAACATTGCACATCATGGCACGAACCAACCCATTCTACTTGTTATCCAACATGGTCGGACCCAACGCTGTTGCTGCGGCCAACAACAATACAAAGCTCGACATATACAGTATTCCAGTTTGTGGGCTTGGCTCAGACTGCTACGGCGGTATGATATTCTGGGATGCAGATGTATGGATGGCCCCAGGAGTCCAAGTATCGCATCCGCAACACGCCCAGAACGTCATCAAGTATCGCGTAGAGCACTTCGACCAAGCGCAACGCAACGTGGAAACTGCGTACCAATCGAGCAAGAACCAAACAGGTAGATTTACGCCTGGAGGAGCTGTATATCCATGGACTAGCGGACGCTTCGGCAACTGTACGGGAACTGGCGCTTGCTTTGACTACGAATATCACCTTAACGGCGACATTAGCCTTGCCCTGAACAACCATTTGATCATCACTGGAGACGGCGAATACTTTAACGACACCCTATTACCGATCTCGAATGCTATTGCGCATTTCTTCGGTCAGTTGCTAGACTTCAACGAAACATCAGGCGCATATGAGCTCTGGAATGCTACTGACCCGGACGAATACGCCAACCAGGTCAACAACATTGCTTTTACCACTGCACTCATGCAACGCCATTTCCTCGAGACGAACGAATTTAACAGCTGGTTTGGACGCAGCCCCAATGCTTGCTGGGCAGATAAGGCATCCAAGATGCGAATTCCAATCAACGAGGATGCTGGCATCATTGTCGAGTATACTGGAATGAATGGGTCAGTAGCGGTTAAGCAAGCTGGTAAGTAGCATCCGCTCCTTTGACAGTTGAGTCACTAATCATTACTTCTATTTAGACGTTGTTCTGGTGGACGATCTGCTGCATTACCCCAATCCATACAGCTTAGCCAACCTGGATTATTATGCAGCGAAACAGTCCCTCGACGGCCCTGCGATGACATACTCTTCATTTGCCGTCGTCGCAAACGAGGTCTCACCATCTGGCTGCTCGAGCTTTACCTACGACGTTTACTCATCCTCACCATACGTCCGCGCACCTTGGTACCAATACTCCGAACAACTCATCGACAACGTTGATGAGAACGGAGGAACACATCCTGCGTTCCCCTTCTTGACCGGCATGGGAGGAACTAATCGCGTTGGTATCTTCGGATATCTTGGTCTTGGTCTCTACTACGATAGGCTGGACATCGATCCAACGCTGCCGCCGCAGATCCCATATCTAAACTACCGCACTTTCTACTGGATGGGACACGGTATCAACGCTACATCCAACTCGACGCATACCACGTTGGCACGTCTGCCACGAGAAAACTATACTCTACCCTCCGCGAACGCGACGTACTTTGATAAGCCCATTCCCGTCACGATCGGTACCCGCAGCAACCGAGACAACACAACGTACGACCTCGGAGACGAACCACTCGTAGTTCGCAACCGACCAATGGGCGAGATTCTGACTGTCGGCGGCAACATCCTTCAATGCAAAGCCCTTCTCCCACCACCGCAAGGTAACAAGCCTGGCCAATTCCCCATCGCGGCTATCGACGGCGCTGCAAGTACAAAATGGCAACCCGAACTTGCAAACATCACCAGCTACCTAACCGTAGATCTCGGCGATTCATCCTTCTACCCTATCAACAAAGTTGTAATGGACTGGGGCAACCAGCCACCCTCACACTTCGAAATTTACTTCTCCAACACCACATTGCCTCCATTCGAAAGTCAACCAGACACAGAGCTCAATGAAGATGTGAGGAAAGTAACAGCTGGCGAGGTGAAGATAAGTGCGCCTTGGGATCCAGTCACTGCGTATGAGATCAAGACGTATATTGGTAATCAGACGAACGTCACTCTTGAGCGGAGTGTTTGGAGCGGACGGTACGCGCATATGGGTATTCGGGGGAATTTGTTTGCTGAGAATGCTACGGATGGGGGGACGGTTGCGGAGTGGAGTTTGGTTAGGGAGGGGTTCTGAGTTGTTGAGTTCGATGGGTGATGACGCTGTTGTATATGGAGGAATGACCGCAACGTGGGTACTTACATTATAATGATATTCTTGTGATTAGCGGATCTTCAATCTTGTTTCGTAACCACAAAGCTAGTGCAATACCCGGCCCCAATCGTCTGGATCTCTCCTGGTATGCTTATTTCGTTCCAGAACCCGCTGACCATATCGTTCCATAAATCGACTCCGATATTTGAGAGATCGCCACAGTTCCCATGTTTACCCCAACCCCACGAGATCAATTCACCCTCTTTTGTTACAGCGAGGATGTGGTCCGACCCAACAGCAATCTTATCCAGAAGCGGCAGATTGGGTGGTAATAACTTCCACATGTTCTCTTTACCCCACGCGGTAAGAGTGCCGTCATCGAAGAGCACGAAGATGGCGTGCCATGTTGCGCCGATGTCTTTCCAGTCCTTGACATGTTCAGGCATGTTCGAGATGATGTTGAACTTGTCTTTGCCGAGTAGCTGGTGTTCACCCTCGGCTGGATCGCTGACTAGGTATGTGAAATCTTTGCCACATACCACTTTCTTGGGTTTAAACGGTATACCTTCAATTGGACTAGGCGCCATACCTTTGCCGCCGTACAGTCCGTCCCCAAGCTGACCGAGACGTGCTTTTCCCCAACCGTATACTGAGCCATTTTCCATTATGGCGATGTAATGCCAGGCTCCTGCTGCGAAATCGACCATTCTGCCTAGAAGTTGAAGCAGGTTGAGGCCTTCCTTGCGTGAGCCTAGCTCGCCCCAGTTATTGGAACCGAGTATCTTGACATAACTCCTTACATACTCAGGATCGTTCTCGTCAAGCTCGACACAAGCTGAAGATTCGCATGTCGCGGCGGCGAACCTGTCATTAGAGGACAGAATTTGGAAAGGTTCAAATTGGGGCGTAGGGTTTTCTTTTATCAGCTGATCTCTGCGACTACTGCCAACCCCGTAGACGACGTTTTTCGTGCAAAATAGCGTGTGATTGTCGCCACCTCTGATGTACAATAGCTCATCCAGGGGTATAGGGCAGCTGCCGGTTGTAGAATGGAGAACTGTGGTTGGAGTGTTGACTATGTCGGCTGCTGGAATTCCGAGTTGGCCTTCTCCGTTACTTCCGAAGACATAGAGTTGGAGAGAAGATTTTTTAGGAACTTCTCTATAACATTGTGGAAGCCAACGTGGCATGCCTTGATCTCAGCACTCTTGTGCTAATTACAAGGTCTAAGTGAGTGACAATAAATCGGTTCGGCGATGAGACCGATGGAGGTGAGTGCCAACGAGAAGAATTGGGTACGAATGATAAACTTTTAGAAGATCTTCCGACACGGGTGGGACAAGCAGAGCTCTGCGACCAACAATTATTTTCCCAACTGGCGAATTATGATTACAAGGTCGGCAAGCAATTCTTTTGCAACGCTGTAGGGCCAGAATATTTGTGCAGGCTACGTCAACTTGCACAAGAATGATGTTGGAAAAAGGCGGTAGCGTAGAGGACCAAGCGACCACCATGAAGATGCTTTGAATCAGGATCTGAAAATGCTCGTGGCGAGATTGAAGATGCGCCGCTCCTGGAATTGACGGCGCTAGCCCGCCGCGACGCTAATCGCTTACAGGGATAGCGGGTCCGTGCGCCCACTGAATTTCGACATGCAACATCGTCGGGTAACTTCCACCCATCGACGACAGCCAAACCGACCACGCCCACCCGTACTAACCGCACGCACATTCCACAGTCGCCCAACATGGCCTCCCAGAGCGTGCAATGCTTCGGCAAGAAGAAGACCGCGACTGGTACGCAAAGCCCGCCGCCCGACACCCCAGAGCAAGAAGAAGAACAAGGCTAACAATACCGCCCACAGCTGTCGCCCACTGCAAGGTACACACGCAATGCCACGATCGAACGCGCAACCGAACAGCATACTTACGATGAAATTCTAGGCCGGAAAGGGTCTCGTCAAGGTTAACGGAAAGCCTCTTTCCCTCGTCCAGCCCGAGATCTTGCGATTCAAGGTCTACGAGCCCATCCTCATCCTCGGTGTTGACAAGTTCGGTACGCACACACGAAACCCCAGGGAGGAAGCTGCGAAGGAATCACGGGCACAATACTAACATCATGGGCAGCTGATGTCGACATCCGCGTCCGCGTCTCCGGTGGTGGACACACCTCGCAAGTCTACGCCATCCGCCAAGCCATCGCCAAATCCATCATCGCCTACTACCAAAAGTACGTCGACGAGCACTCGAAGAACCAGCTCAAGCAGGCCCTGATCCAGTACGACCGCACACTGCTCGTTGCCGACAACAGGCGGTGCGAGCCCAAGAAGTTCGGTGGTCCAGGTGCGCGTGCCAGGTACCAGAAGTCTTACCGTTAAGCGGTATCGCTTTTGGGCTTGGAGAGGAGAAAGATGGAGCGGTGTATGGGGGAGCATGGAGCGGTGTTCATCCTGGGCTTTTACATGGGGTCTTCTACTGTCTACTATCTATCTCCTTAAGGACGAGGTTACGTGACATGGCGCGCAACGGCTGCCTGGTACGATCCCCCGGCTTGTGACGATACAAAATGAATACATTGGTTGCAAGAATATGGACAACGGCATGTCGATTGTGGATGGTCATGAGATTCTCAGTGAAGCAGGATAAATGAATGCCAAACGACTCTTTCCCAAACGAAATACCTAGACACTGAAGTGGTACACGCACAGCAATACACAGCCGTCAAGCCATACTATGAAGAGGGCAATGGACTCAATTAACGGTCTAACATTCACCATCTCCAACACCAACGCTCCCATGCATTAACACATACACACACACGCACACTAACACAAAGCTATCCTGCAGCCAACCACTTCGCTTTCTCGTCTTTCCAGGAACGCCCCTGGAGGTCGATACTGTTATTGGTATAGCCATAGATTTTGAGAGGCGAAGGCTTCTAACCATCGCTACCGCTGCTCCTAAATGCTGCACACAGCGCGGCATACTGGTGTGTGAGATCGAGGACGTGCTGGGGTAGCGAGGTACCCTGGATGATGCTGCGGATTTTGACGGCGCCTTCTTCTTCGATGAGTTTGCGGATTGTGTAGAGGAGGGAGGGTGAGAACTGGTGAGGTCATATGTTAGTTTCGGAATGATGTTAGAAAGGGTGAAGGGTAGGCTCACCTCAGAGTACCATCGGTACTGCCAAGTGACCAGTCTGATCAACGCGGCTGTAACGTCTCTGACTTGTTTCCTCTCCTCGCCCAGCTTCAGGACGCCTCTCATAGCTTTTGGTGAGAACTTGATTTGCAGACAGTTCTCATACGCTTCCACTGCCTCCTCTGTATGATGCAGTCTCTCGGCGAGTTCTCCTAGGATCTCCCACTCCTCACTGCTCTTCTTGTACAGAAGTTGTTGCTGCCTGTACTGCGCCATCTCAGTTCGCCATATCGTGTATACGCGCAGATCCTCGTATAGGACCATGAAGAGGTTGTCGAGCCAGCGTTCGCAGAGGCGCTTGTTCTGGAAGTGTGTATAGTTTGGTTGCGAGGGGTTGCCGTTGTTTGCGGCGTCGTGTGCGTGAGGGTCTTCGCTGCCGGCTTTCACAACTTCAGAGGCGACAGTGTGCATGGGCTTCTCGAGATCGTGGACTGCTTCGGCGGCCGCAGAGGAGGATTCGCCGTTCGTGTTGGATACCTCAGCGGAGGAGCGTTCCTCGACTTCGCCATGATCACCGTTCGTTTGCTGGGCGTGTGTGTTCGGGGAGGGAGAGCGAAGTGCTGTCGTGCTGGCGCTGCGAGAATGTGGTTGCTGTGCGGTCTTTTCATGGCGGTATTCCTCCTCCATGACAAAGACTTGGCTTCGTATCTTGAGTAATTGATCCCAACCAATCTTCTTTGTAATCTCTGTCAGTAGGATGTAGGCTTTGAGGAAAGTGCCCTTGAAACCTGCAGCGTGCAGCTTCCTCAGAGTTGGGTGCACAAGCTCCATATCGTCGATGTTGGAATCTTCAATCTCGTCGCACATGGCCTCTGGCATGACCGGCAGAAAGACTCGCTGTGGCTCGGGCATCCGTGGTGCGTCCTTGTCTTGGTAGGTGAACATGGGACATGAGTTGAGAGTCAACAATGCCATGTCCCACTGCTCGAGGCTGACGTATATCTCTGCTAAGCGCGCCCATGTGCCAAACTCACTAGGTGCAGACACAACGCTCCTCTTAGCAATCTCAAGCGCCAGGTCGCCGCGGCCCTTCTTGTTGCAGAACTCGGCTTGGCAGTCGAGCAGAGAGTAGTCCATGGGCAGTTCTTGGATGGCCTCGTGTAGCAGCTGGACTGCCTGCACCTCCTCATCTGCCTCGATGTATACCCGCGCCAGTAGGGAAGAGATCTCCGGATCGCGAGTTCGCAATTTCTCGAACAGATTGATGCCTGAAGTATATCTACCGGTGGTGTGAATGTAGTCGAGAAGACCCGTAGTCAAGTGGTTCGAGACGAGATTTGGGACTTGAATCTCGGGATCAGATCCTAATTGCCAACCTGAAATGCGTTAGCGGAGATATCATCATGCAATCGAATGTCGTACCGTTGAAGAACAGGCGCTCTGCTGCATCCAGAAACTTGTGCTCGCTCTCGGTACTTGTGATGGGATTGAATCTCCGCACACCAACGATCTTCTTGATCGTGTCGCCGGAGCCATCGTCGGCATAAGAATATGCGCGCAGTACGCTACACAGGTAGGTCTCTAGCCAGAGTTCGTCGGTGGCTACTCGTTTGTCGCCGCGCTCATCGATGCAGTAGCTCTCCACAGTGCCAGGGATGTAGACCTGCACGCGCATGTCCAGCCGTGAGAAGGCATTGTAGCAGCTGCTCGGTCAGCAATTGCCAGCGCCGCAAGGAAACATTCCCCTACCAGTACAGCCCAGAGACAACCTTATTTTGCTTGTCGTGCGCAGAGTATGTGAGGGTGTTGATGTAGGCTGCCAAGCTGGCAGACGAGGAAGCGTCTACGCCGGAGACGTGGTGGTAGACGCCAATCTAATCACATGTCAAATTGGGTTCGCGGCCACTGTGCGGTCGAAGGTACTACGGACCTGTTTTGTCGCATTCTTGATGGGCTGCTTTATCAGGTGGACCAGATCTGGCGGGCCCAGTTCTCGTAGGGTCTGCAGAGATTCCGAGCGCGCTTCGATGGCGGAGTGTAGCTCGTCCTCGTAGATTCTAGAGCCATGTTAGAAGAGATTACAGCAGGAATGCGCCATGACGACGTGTTGTGACTCGAAAATATAGGGAAGGATGCAGGTGGGCGCATATGTAAAACATGTATAGATTGAAAGCTAGTAGGTTGCGCGTACTCGGGAACAGCTGGCGAAGTGACCATGACTTCAATTGGCGCCGCAAATGCGGGGGGATGATGGCGGTGAAGAGGATGCTATGGCGGGGGCGGGTTGCTGGCGGAGGGGCTTGGTATGTACTTCACAGCCCGGGCGGATGTTTGTCAGGGTTTCGGTGTCCTTGCTGAGTATGGAGGGCAGGCACGGTAGCTCATCGCGGAGGACCGCAGCTGCCAAGACGGGGCATCCCTGCGCTCCATCATTCACTGTCGCGTCGCGTCACACCGAGGCCTGACGACGTGTCATAGGCCACAGCCCAGTCGCATCCCACCTTCTTTGTCCACACCATCGTCGCGCCTTCCATGGTTGCCTGCTGCTCATGGTCTGTACCACCAAT